GTTTATGTTTCTTCTGTATGAGTCGTTTGATTTCTTTTGTAACCCAAGGACTGTCAGATTTCCTTGAGCGACGCGTTATAGATGGAATGCTATCGCGAATTGCTGCAATATATCACAAAACCTTCCCACGATGCATGAATGTCATTATTGTCAATGAATAGTGTACATTGCAAAATCACCTTTGTTCATCTTTAGGTACGACCGTATTAATGATTTATTCAGTGGTGGACTTACAGCTTGAAAGCGAAAAGATACAGCAAGATGATCACTGCTCATAGGATTCTCAACATTAAAAACTAGATTTTTCCTGTTGGTAAAGACAAGGATAGTTGTTCCACCTTGTAAGTTATTGGACAGTCTTGTATTTTGACAAACAATCTGAACCAATCCTTATAGTTCCATAGTATCGGTAAGCTGATGAGGAGCACTAGGCCAGTCAACTTTGAAGTCTCCGGCTATAAAAACTTCTTCATAATTTGCGTGTGAAAGTTCAAATTTCGAAATTGCACGCTCAAACTTTGTCCAATAAGCAATGTTCTCATTGGGAGGACGATATATAGCTGCCAGAAGCAATTTGTGATTGTTGAGCCTAAGAGTGATCCAAATAATTTCTAATACATCATCACATGCAACGATATTAGGATTGAGGTCAGGTTTGACAACAATCAGAACCCCTCCTCCGTTTTTATTTGACCGTCGGTCACGTCGAAATATTTCATATCCATTCGCAAATTGAAGGCCATTACTATCATCACCTATCTTCAACCATGTTTCAGAATCAGAATATTTACATTCATGCATTGGGTAACCAATTCCAAGGAGTATTTAGTAACAAACATGAAATACATTGGTGTGGTTTTCTAGATGTACCGGGGATATTAGGTTGATCAGGTTCCGGTCCCGGATTTTGCTCCACGTCACCATGTTTTAATATTTCGGTTGATTAGTCGACCCTGGTGCAAAAGACGCCTCAATGCATACAGGTAATCGCTAGGAAAATGTACATAACTCGTAATGAAATAAGGAATGTCCACAGACAAACACTAATACAAGATTACAATATTTAAGAGACATCTTACCATAGAGTTTCAAATTAACATTTGTTAGTGATTTGGTAAAATAAATTTCACGTTAAATATACAACAGACACACTCAATCGCCGAGCTGCAATCTTTACAGTCGTTCAAGACAACAACAAAGCGAGAAAAGATAATGTGACTGGTCAGACGCAAATGGTGGATTGAAAGTTGTAAAAAAAAATGTATAAATACAATATAACTCATTAAGGACAAACCAAATTATTAACTCACCATAGACAAACATGGTCTACATGATTTTCACATATGTATGGATTGCGTTTAGAATACCCTCTGTTAGTTTCAAATGTTTGTTTGCCCTCCTCCACCTGCCCCTAACTCACTAAAAAAAAGGAAGGGGGGGGGGCGGAAATCTTTAAAAAGGCTTTTTTTTAGCTTTTCTCTTTAAAAAAAATGAAAATCTGAGTGAATTTATCTTTATTTTTTGCTAGATGCCCTAACAAATTTGCCTAAAGTTTTTGTCTGATGTAAGATATTGCAATTCTAGGCCTCTGAGGGTTTTTATTCCATCTCGTATGTATCTTTAAAAAAAAATTTAAAAAAACTTTTTTCTAGCCGCACTTATTTATCATTTTTAATAATAGAAGGGCAAACAAACAATTTATTTTTCAGAAGTCCTTTAAAGTTTTAAAGGTGTGTTAGAATGTAGGCCTAGCTGTTAACACCTCTGACAATGCCACTGTAAGGACAAGTGTAGCTAAATGACTGGTCAAAATCAATAATGTATCCAGTACACATGCATTTGGAAAAGCTTACTGGAAAGTTCCTGTGTATAAGAATAAAGAATGCTCAAAGGTTAAAACCTGATGCTAAGAATGAAGGGCAAATATGTACAATGTGTATCTTGCAAAGGGCTTGCATACTGTAGCATTCAAGATAAGATTTATTTATCTCTTTTATAACAGAGGAACACTCTCGCGCAGGAGAGGTTCGACCCGTACAACTGTTGCAAAACAACAACTGACAATATATAACAATTAATTATTGAAAAGATAAATGAGTATAGAAAAAATACTGGACAAGCAAAAGAAATGTTACTCTCATTATTCTGTGGTAATTAAGGACTAACTTAATGTACAAAAAAAGAAATTGAGAAAGAAAAGAAAAAAAAATAGAGAATTCCATTACAGAATACAAAGTAAATAAATAAATGACAAAAAATATAAGTATATTAGTACAGTAAATAACATAAAAATTAAATATTGGTGGTAATGTTTTTCATTAGTTCAGTTCTTTCAGTCATTGCTTTTTGTTAAATATGTTTTACAATCAAATATGTTACCCATTTCAACAAAAATATTATCTTAAAGTAATTGGTGCCTAAATTCATATGAACCTTTTAAGAAAATGTCCCAAAAGTACCTAATAATTTTACACAAGTCAGTTTTCAAATTTTCAAAACATGCATTTCATATTTCTTCAAGTATCTAGCCGTTTGTAATGTTTTAAGTTTTTATTATGGAAATATATTTTTAGACCTTATAGTGAAAATCTGGGTAGTAATCACTAATACAATATTGTCGATGGGGATAATAATATTAATATTATTAAAAAATGAAGACAATTGTGCTAAAGGCGAAAAAAGTTGTGATTTGTTGATCACAATTATAGTATAGTTAAAGCTTAGTAAGGTATAATTAGGCCTACGCTGTCTTGGATATATTAAGTAGATCCCTGATAACAGATCATGAGATTGTTGATGGCGCTTCATTTTGACTATATAATTAAATGATGATGTTATGATGATGAATTTTACTATCCAAAAGTGTCATTTCCGGCCATCTAGAGGCACTATTCCCTCAAATTTCTCACATCAGCCCAACTATGGTGGGGCTGAGGTGGTTGTGAATTCACGGTTTTGAAGCATGTAAAGTACATACTCAAAAACAATGTTTTTAAGCTTTATTTTTTATGGTACATCACACATATTAATAAGATCTCTATGGTTGCCGAAAATCCCTGATAAAAGAT